CACACCCACACCCACACCCACCCACACCCATCTGCGAACACAGTTTGCGCTTTATAAGTAGATAAAAAGTCACTAGAGAAATTTCTTTATTTTAAAGTTCATCAATATGAAAATGAATTCAGCAGAAAATAAGATTTCGTTTGTCGTCCATTTTTTAACGTACTCTGGGCTGATATATATTTATATGGAACGATTATCTTTTGATTTTCTGTTCAAGGCGAACTTCGAAGTAGTTCGAACAAATATTTCCATCTAATTTTATATTTAATACGCTTTTTATCTTTTCCTTTTCTTCAGTCAATAATATGATTTCTTTTTCTTTACTTATCCACGTTATCATTTAACTATCCCAACCGAATTTCTTTTATGAGCTTAACTTTTTCAAACTGGAAGCTCACTTTGAACAAGATAGTCAATCGTGTTGAAAATTTCGATTCAAAGATAAAGGTTTGATGTTGACACATCGATCAATAAAAGTGCTCAAATTCAACTATTATAATCAGTTCTATTCTACTAAAGAGACAGTACTGATTTTCATACTTTTTTCTGTTTAGCATGCTTACATATAAAAACAATAATTTTTTGTCTACGGACTTAATATTCTTGTAAAGCAAAATATTCTATTTTTTTTCTTTATAAGTCATGTTTCTAGAAACGTTTTAAGGTTCTCGAAAATACAGAAGAAGAAAGGTTCATTCATAATATGCTATCCCTTATACGTGTGTATACATAGTTTCTAATTAAATGTTCATTCGTGGTGTTTTAAAATCTATACTATTGTCCCTACGCGAGTGTTCGGAAATGAAACACTAGTTTCAAGAAATATAATAGCGCAACACATATGAAAAAATAACACGGAACAAATTTCTACTTGTTGTGGGATGCGACCGTCGAGCGAAAAGAGTTTAGGGCAATGGTCGACTTCATAGATGTTTTGCGATCATTAGCGACCTTCATACTGCACTCACCTAGTTTTTTAAGCACGATACACATGTCTGATTGCTAATGCTGAGCTAGCTATGTATTGAAAACTCAATTATTTGAAAATGTTGAAAACTTACACCGATTACAAAAACAAAAAACGAGTGGCTGAACTAACTATTATGTGAATATCATCTTTGTTTTTGGTTTAATTTAGTCTATATATATATATTTTTAGATAAATTTTGAGGAATAAGCTGATGATAATAAAAAAATGAATAATAACCGCTTAGTAATAGTTCTATAGGAATAAATCAGGCAAAATCAGGAGAAAATCAGGATTTTCGATCAAAATCAGGAAAATCAGGACACTTTTAAAAAATCAGGAAAAAATCAGGAAATTAATACGGCTGCGAGGCCTGGAATTATGTGAAACAATACGCAATATTATTGATTTCAATAGATCTAAACAACTTGATCACAATTAGGGCGCGAACATTATAACTAGTGACCATACATCTAAATTACTAATGCATATTTTCTTTCATCATCTATAAGATGTATTATGCCAACCGTAAGAAAGCTTGTGAATAAATTTAGTTCTTTTGAGATAAATAGTAATGAAAAATGAGGTCTTATGAAAAGAATGTTTAATAATCAGTTAAGCAACATCGATAAAAAACCTCCCAATAAACAATTAAGTAATTTGGCAAATCATACATCAATTTAATTGATGATAGAAAATCTTCACAATTCTTAGTGACATAGCTCTAATCCATTTCTCTCATTGCATCTGATCGATTAGAAACAAGAACACTGTATTCAGATGAATGTTACATAGCATACAAACATTTTCGATTTGTATATAAACAATTAAAACAAATAAAAACGTATGTTCTATTCAATCTTCAAAATCGTTATATGTAGAGAATCGAACAAATTATAGATATTTAGATATAATTTAGTGTCCCAAGTCCAAGAAAACAACTATAAACAATCTAAAACGGCGATAACAGGGGCTATTATCGCATCAATTTCTTTAGCAAGATAAATTGTTGTGAATAGTGGAAAAACGGTAGTTTTTACTATCTAGAATCATTGAAGACGCCTTGTACACCGGTTCAAATCATTGTCCTGGGATTGTAAACATTTTGGGAAATCTCTTACCCTTACACTAGTTTCTGAAGACACAACGTCATCTGTATATTCAGCAACATCCACATTGAAGGCATTGAATTAATTATTATTAAAATCATCAGAACAAAGATTATACCAATGAAAATTTTATTGCGTAAACTATTACAATTAAGACATATTAGGATGTGAATGTTGGTCACCTTTTCACCCACACCCACACATCAAAGATTTAAGTAACAAGTTTTGACATAGTTTTGCTATGATAAAATGATTGTACGATGGCAACATTTTGGTTTTTCTAGATGTTCGAGCAATTCTCAACTCAAATTCTATATGCACAAAAAAATTACATTAGTTCAAATTAGTGACCAGGATGTTGTCTATGTAATTAAATTGAATCATCCTATTATCATCGCATATAAAATTTTTTCATACGAAAATCAAAGAATGTCGTGAGAGAGCTGGTAATCATGATTCAGACAAAGTCTGGCTTGAGCTACATAATATACAGGTTTATAATCGGATCATATCGAATATTTTTCAGTTGAATCATGCGTATTCATGAGTCCTAATCGATAGTATACAACTTTTTATTTTGCAATGCGATGTATGCTGGAATATGAAAGTCTCTCTGAAAGCAACAGCTGCTAGGTTAAAATTAACACAAGACTAACAGTAAGCATTGTATTATTTTATTTTAAAAAAATCGTTTGTCTATTGAATATTCGCCACGTTTCCAAATGGATTGATTGACATGAGGTTTATCTCCGATGGGTAATATGAATGGGTTCTTCTTGAGCATATAGGCCTGAGTGTGGATGAAGAGAAGAACAAGATCACACTCTCTCTATTATTATTGTTGTTTGACGTGTGTAACGATAAATAGAAGAAGATGCGATGACAGACTAGAGGAGTAGCTTACCGCCACCCTCGATAATGATGTTTATTCGCTACTTTACATCTCCAAAATGTGTCTACTTCATACAAAACATACGCTTATATATGATAGAGAAACAAAGAGAGAGAGAGAACCCAGGAAGAACAATAGAGAGAAGAAGAGGAAACAAGAAGAGCAGCGGGTCGTGACGTATATATCGACACAACGTGGTTCCCATAATTTCAATTCATACTTCCATTGAACATCACAGTTAAATTCACTAAGGATGTGGTGGTAAATAAAGAATTTATATGAATGCATTGCACTGATTGTACATCTCACACATATTCGATGTAAAACTATCACACACTTATTCAAAATAAAAAAATTCTGTGATTTCTTTCAAAAGTGAATAAATAAAATTTTCAATTATGACACAATATAGTACTCTATTTTTTTTTCAAGCAGCTGTGTTAGTGATTGACTAAAGAAATAACTATTTCATATTTTTGATACAATAATATCACTTGGTTTCACAACTCTTTTAGCAATATTAAAATTGAAATATCTTAAAATCGTTTGAAATTTTTCTTCATGGTTTACCATCATCATCTTAAACCTTAACAAAGTCTTCAAGTAACCATATAGTCTAGACTTTGTATAAATTCATGCAATTTACTCATGAAGGACTCTGATCGTAAATGTCTGATCAACAAGTATTGATAAGAGTTGTATACTTCTTTTTTAATCGTTGTCGAATAAAATACAGCGACATCTGAACATATCATATCACTGGAGTGTTCCTCTATCCTCTTATATTAACACGTGAATCATATTATAAGTATTTAGTGTCTTCCAAATACTGTTCCGTTTGGTTGTTAAATTGCTTTATCGAATACGATGAGCATCCAGCGAAAGTCAGATGATACGACAAATTCAATTGTTGATTCGTCTTCAACTAACAAAAAATCATTAGATATTCTGACAACAATTGAATTAAATCAAGTTCAACAAAATACTGATAATTTCGAAATAGGAAAACAATCTTTATTTGAAGAAGTACAGGTGATATTTCTTATATTCATGTATAAATTCAAAACATTGTTTAGTGTGTATCGTTGAAAAAACAATGCGATGAACTTACTAAACAAAAACAAGCGACAGAAATTAGATATCATATGTTATTAGACGAAAGTCACCGAACAATTGAAGAAAAAGATGTAAGATAAAAATCAATGAAAGAAAATAATGATTTTTGTTTGATTATTCTAGACTGAATTAAAACGTCTTCGAGAAACTACTAATATTATTGTATCAAATAAAACAAGAACTGATTTTCTTCATAGTTAAATTAAAACGTTGATTTTATTTGTATTCAATTATGTTTTTTTCAGATAATCAACCTGATGTTAACGAATTTGTTAAATATCAAAAAATGCTAAATGAATTACAAGATGAAAATATTCATTTGAAAAATGAAGTTTTTAGTTTAAAAACAATACTTGAATCGAAGGAAAATATTGAAAAAAACTACCAAGAACAAATTCATAGATTACAATTACGTATTACAGAACTTGAAGATTGGAATGGAGATAATCAAAGTTAGTTATTCAATTATACTAGCAAAAGTGTTTAATTTCTATTGTTTTAGACAATGAATCATCCGAAACAATCAAAACAAAGAATACAGTAATTTTTTTTCATTCTTTTCACTAGGGTACATTCTTAGCTGTTTACACCTTGTGGAGTTGATTTTGTACTCATGTACGTTTCTTGCTGATTTTTGAATTGTTTGAGTATTTTCTATTATTATAGATAAATATATTTCTCTATGACACTAAGAAAAATCTATGTGAATTCAGATCGATGCTCCACAAGCATGGACCCAGTATTATTTCGCTGCATGTTTGTACTTTTGTCCTAGCTTTGTTTTCCATGCATGTGAAAGTAATGGCAAATGGTTTTAGATGACTATCAGAGATAAGAGACCTTAAGTCTTTGTCAGAGTGGACTTAATGATAACTAGACATTTCAATGTTACAATCGTAAGAAGTTTGCAGATGATACAAATCGCAATGTCACCATGAACTTCTCATGGAATACCATCATTTATCGTACTGCTGAATAGTGTAAACTCGGCTTCATATGAAAATCATGACGATGAACAGTATGTGTTCTAATGATAATGGTACTGAAGAAAAAGCTTTGGAGTCTCCTACCTTTTAATAGTCACCAAAAACCATCTGCCATTACTTTCAAGTGCATGGCAAATACTTAAACGATTCAAAACGTGGCACAGAATGTCCATGAGTACAAACCTTTCGAAGGCTTTTCATAGTTCAACAAGACCTAGTTATGAGCAAAATATTAACTCTAAAGAACACGAAACTTTCTCTCATCAATATAAAATTTTCTTTTTTTTTTGTTTCTATAAAGGACTATTCTGATTTACACTCAAATATCGATTTACTAACATCCCGTAATAGACAATTAGAAAATGATTTACAACGTTTACAATCACAACAACGTAATAATCAATTAGCTTTAGAACGTCTTGATGAATATGAAGAAACAATTTCTCAATTACAAGAACAACTTAATCAATTCAATTCAAATAAGAAAAAACAACACAGTAATAATAAAAAATATTTATTCATCATTTGTAATATATTGATAAAAATCATTTCATCTTTTAGTCGGTGCTGATGAAGATATAAATCGTGTTCTTATGGAAGAACGAAAACGATACAATGCAATATTTGATATTCTCGAAGAAACACGTTTACAATTGAAAAATGAAAGTAAACAATCGGAAGAAAAAATTTTACAAATTGAAACTAACTTAAAGGAAAAATTTGAACAAGAAAAAATAAATCTAGAAAATCAAATTCAGATTAAAGACAAGCAAATTGAAATTGGAGTTGGAAATTCTATGATTAACATTTTTTCATTTTTTCTTCATTTTTTTTTCTTGTAGAGAAATGAAAGAGAAACTCTCCAAAAAGAGATAAATAATCTTCAACAATTGAAAGATGATCAAGTAAAATATTAAATAGATCTTTCAAAAAAAAAAAACAAAAATTCTTTTTAATTTTTATTATTTAATTTTCTATTAAAAGGAACAAGAAAATCGTTTAAAAGAAATATATGTTCGAGAAATGCTTGAACGGCAAATCATTGAACTCAATGAACAAGTACAATCTTTAGAAAATGATAAAAATGAACTTAATCATCAAATTGATGAACTTCGACAACAATTACAATCAAAAGATCAACTAATTCAAAATTTCCAAGTTCGTATAAATGAATATAATGTTGAATAGGAACCCAATCTAAAATAATTTTAGATGACTAAAAAAGTAAAATCTTGGCTCTCCTTTTTATCCTAAAGAAAACATTCAGGAGGTTTACTAGTCTTAGTAAGATGAGTAACGACTAATGTCCTGCATGAGCAGAACATTTTACATCTATATCTGGGCCGGTACCTATTTTTACATCTGGAACTGATCCAAAATCAATTGACTTTGGTCAGTATCTTCAAAGTTATGTATACTTTTTGAACTTTTGGTTCATTTAACAAAATATACTGTTATTTTGATTTCATCGGTTAAAAATAACAAAAAAAAGAGTGATCTGAAATTTTTCAAAAAAAAACACTAGTGATTCAGAATTCAGTTGCTGTCTTTGTGCTTCGAAAATTCTCCTAATTTCGTTGAATAAACGTTTAGTTGTTGCTAATAATCTTGAAATGGAGCATTGTGTTGATGCTACATGTGATGATTGCAGACAAATGCATGAAAGTTTTTATGGCACGATAGTAAATCTTTATTGTTTTGATGATACATGAGACTTTTCATATATTCAACTACCTAAACATATGGCTCATTATCATTATCTCTGGACAATTTTTTTCCCTTGAATACGAGTACGTACTCGTACTTTTTCAGCTCTGTCACAAGTGACGTTTCAAGAGAATTTGAGTTCATCAAATTTCGTCAATAGGAGTATTGAATATAAGACTATGCGACAGCTTTGAAAAATACATTTTAAATGATCATTTATATGTTTTAAGTGATTACAATACTCTTCTTTATACTTTAGACTTTTGCGACGACACCTGGTGCACCACCCATGATTAATGTGTCCTCAAATATTCGAGATCTTTCTCCATCTCCACAAGCATCCTCTAATCATTTACATGAACTCGAAGGTCAAATTTATCAAAACGAAAAACAATTTTGTCAAATAAATTCCATCTACAATCAATTTCTTACTCTTTTACCATGTGAATATACATCTCCAAATGAGACACATGTATCATTATCAGATCGGTTTGTTAATCTCTTTGAACAATTCTCAACATATATTGGTACATTTTCTATAATACAAGAAGAACTCGATTCTTTAAAACAAATACTTAATGAAAGACAAGATGAACTTGAAAAATTACGAGCACATTTAGAATTAACAACAGATAAATTAACACAATTACAAGAAGAAAAATCTTTATTAAATAAAAATAAATCATATGAGAGTGATGAAGATGAATTGGAAGAAATTCTTGGATTTCAACAACGTGCACCATCACGACAATCACTTTTATCAATTACACCAGGTGAAAAACAACAATTAATTGCACAAAATGAACTTCTTTCATCATTATTAATTGAAAAAGAACGAGAATTAATTTCATTACAACAAGCAGAAAAATCAAATGAAGATTTAATAAAAAATCTAGAAATATTACGATTAAATTTACAACAAATGGAACATGATAAAGATATAAAACAAATTGAACTAAATGATATAAGAAATGTACTTGACGAAAAATTAAGAGAAAATTCTTCACTGAAAAAAGAAAAAATGTATTTTATTGAAAAGCTTGCTGAATTTGAACGTGAACGAAACGAACAACAATCGATTATTCAAATGTCATATAAACAATCATCTCAAGACAGAGAAATCTCATCAACATCAATAATAAAAAAAGTTCAAGAACAAACTGTAAGTCGATAATCAACAATATCGAGTTTCATTAGCACTAATAATGACAAGAGAATTTTATCTAGTCAAGTTTTCATCATATGAATCCTCAATTTTACTGAGAAACTGTTGTAAATAAATACATCTGATAGAATGAACTATATCCATGCTGTTAACTACTTTTTCTTCATCAAACTACACTGAATTTGAAAATTAGATATCAAAAAGTATTTTTGAGTTCTTTTTAACCTAAGTGTAGTTATATAACAAAGAACTGTGAAGTAATTTCACAAAATCTTTTCTATTCAATATGTTTATTAGAATCTAGAGTGCTGATTCAGGACTTTTTTGAGAAGAGTTTTGATTGTTTTCTTAAACTAGAGATGTACAAGCTAAGCTTTTTTTTCATTCTTTGTATTCTGACTGAGAAAATATTCTAAGTCTTACTTTAATCTACAAAGTTTTTATTTTATTTTTCGTTAATCCTACTCTAGTAGGAAGACTCTAAAAATGATAAATAAGAAAATAGTATCGGTTTAGGTATGTGTAGACTATGAGGACGCATGCCCAACTGTGGAACGACGTTCGACTTCATGTTATAGTTATACGTAGATCTCGGTGTGACTAAGAAGATAAAATTAAAAGGATTTAGTCTCATCACTTACTTATAGAGGATTACGATCGTTTAAATGAAATTTTCACTGATAATCAATTGTCTCCGAAAAATCCAAAACAAAAAATTTTGATCTGAGATTTTGCCTATAGAAAAATTTTCAGATCGAAACTATTTTTGTTTTGGATTTTTCAAAAATGCTTTGCTCTTAGCAAAATGTCATTTAAACAGCTATAAATCTTTATCAGTAAACCATGGATCTGAATCCTTTTAAGCTTATCTTAACCTCATGAAAATTTACTAGTAGCTATAATATGAAGTTGAATGTGTTCTCCAGTGAACCGTATTCAAAAGAAGTAAACTGGTTGGGAAAATTTTTCAAAATTCTTACCTCATCCTGCATATTAAGACTAGAGTAATACTGCAATCTGTAGTTAACAGCTGCCAGCATTATAAGAACAAAATACTCATCACTACTTCCATAATCTTCAAATCATTTTTGAGCTTTAACTAATCATTACTATGACCGTAAGAAGTTTAAGATATGACTGAACTTAACTTTTTATTTGTCATCTGGTTATGTTATTTCTGTAAATCATGCTTTCTTTTAATTTATTCAGACCGACAAAAATATCAGTGAAGAACAAAATGAAAACCTTTATTTTAATTCTAATCAATTACTGAAATTATCTAAATGTCAACAAGACGAATCGATATCATATTATCATGAATATATGCGTATTCTTACTCTCTATAACGATCTTAATATAAAATACAGTCAACTTGAAATCGATTATAAATCTATTCAATCATTAATTCAACAAAAAAATGAAGCATTTTTGCAATGTCAAAATGAATTAAATACTTATCAAAATTTATTATATCATCAAAAGAAAAAATCTGATGATATTGATTTATTACGTTCAACATTGAATGAACGTGAAATTAAGATTCAACAATTAATTAGCAATGAAAATCAACTACTTATTAAACAATCTGAATTAGAATCTAATAACAAATTATTAGAAGAAAGTAATTTTAAATTAAAATCAAATCAACAATTATTTGAACAAATGCAATTAGACTTAAAACGTATTACACATGAACGAGATTTAGCTATTATAGAAAAAAAACAAATAGAAAATCAAATAAAATCTCATAGAGAAAAAGTTTGAAATTTTCAAATAAAAATAATCAATTATTTTTTACAGTATGTTTTTTTAGCTTTTGCAATATGAAGAACATGAGCAAAAGTTAACGAATGAAGTCGAGCGTTTATGTCAAATAGAAAAATCATTAAGAAATCAACTTGAACAATTAGATAATTCAAATCGAGAAAAAACTGAATTTATCCATCATTTCACAACCAATAATGAACAATCTCAACAAGAATTATTATCGAAATTAGAAATGTTAAAGCACGAAAATGCAGAGATTAACGAATTTAATACAAATTTAACTCAGCAATTAAAATATCAAATCAAATGTTCACAAAACTTACAAAATAGTCTTGATCAATTTCAACAGGGTAGAACAATAAGTTTCTCTTGAAACTACATTGATAAACATAAAAAATATACAAAATAGTTCTAAATTCTTCATCTAATAATAATATAATTATTCGTTAGTTTATACAGACCAAAAAGAATTTCTGTAGTTAAGACCTCTTTTATAAACTATGTTATTTACTGAGCCTTTTTGTTCTATATAAGGATATAATCGGTGAATATATCTAAACCGGTATTTCATACATATAAGAAAACACTCTTTATTTGTAAGACCATCAAAAATTAAATTAGACTTAAAAGGGAATATACCGAACCGTCGAACACTATTCTGTTTTGTATTATGATTACGAGTAAGTCTCAGTGAGACTAAGAACTTCTTAGTCTCACTGAGACTTACTCGTAATCATAATGTGAAAATTCTTCTGAGTCTACTCATTTGTCGTTGTCTTCGGAATGTCTGTCTAGGTTTTTTCATGCCAATATCATGTAAACATACTTGAGAATATAGAAAACTGTTCACTATACCGAAGTCGATGCTTATTTTGACAGAAATATATTTTCTTGTCTGTATGTAAGTCAGCAAGACCTAATAAATATGTCTTGTCCATTTAGTTTCAGAATCACATGTTTAACTTCGCTACAGAAAAACATGTTCAATTTTGCCTTATATTGACATGTTATTTATAGTCACAGATCCTTTTCTCTCTTATTTGTGTATGAAAACATGTACGAACAGAAGTAGAACAAAGATACACTCACTTAAGAGAAGTTGCTTCAGTTGATGAGTATGAACTAAATCATTCAAAATTTCACTATAAGAACATGTGCGCCAAAAAAACGGCCGATTTCAAGTAAAAATCACTCGATGAGGGCTCAGAGTGTTCACTATAACGATGTTTTGCTAAAGATTAAATGTTTATGGATTCCATGATAGTGATATCAAGCAAAAAACTAGGTTTTGTTCAAAGATATTTTGAAGAGATGAGACAAAAACCAATGTTACTCAGAATAGTAACAGTAGGAGGTCGTTTCATCGTAGTTGAAGTAATTGGGATTAAGAAACAAACGATGGGCAAGTAATGATAAGTATGGCGATTTGTATTAATGGTTTCTCTAGAATGCCCATGAATTTGATTTATTAAGAAAATCTTCTATAGTCATTCTCACATATATATCTAATCCATCGTTATATAAGATAAAGCTTTGGTATCAAAGATACAAATAAAAGATAGACAGCCTGTTTGAGGCTCTAACGAGAGAATTCCTCCATGTGATAAACTGTATTTGAGTTCAAACTCTACACATAAGGTAGATTACAATGATATACAAAAAGATACTAGACAGCCTACAGATAGGTCTAGTTATAATTAGAATGTCTTGAAAGTTTCAGTTCAAAAAAAATTTTCCTTCGTATGATATGAGTTTGCATAAAATATTAATATTCCACGAAAGAAACATTCTTTTGAACTGAAATTTTCAGAATAGTCTGGCTACAACTAGGTCGGTCTGTGGGTCAAAGTTCAAGTCAAAACACTATCATTCGGTTTGTAAGTATAAACCATACTAAAGCCTAAAATTCGCGTGCGATGATTATAACTCCGAAAGGAAGTTCTAAAGGCTTGCTTCATTCTGTAGCTTTTCATGTCTCATTCAGGTCTATCTTATGTCTAGTGTCCGAATTCAAAAAAGATTTAGTATGTGAAACAATTCCATTGTGAGGAACATTATTATAAGAAAATTATTTTATAAAAATAAGACATGTCAATGGATTGTTTTATTTTCAGAACGTGAACAAAATATGAATGAGCATTTATATCAATATCAAGATTCTTTACGTGAACAGATATCAATCTCAGCTCGTTTAACAAATGAAAATAATGAACTTCATCAACGTTTAGAAGAATACGATGAAATATTTTCATCTGTAAATCGTTTAAATGATGAAATGAAAACAAAAGATTTATTAATAAACAAACTTCAAACTGAAATTGATCATAATAATGAACAAATTTTAGCATATAATGAAAATTTTCAAACAACAAATGATACACGTGTTGAAAAACAACTTGTAAAAAATATTCTTTTATCTTATTTTCATACACCAATTGATAAACAACAGGAAGTTATACCAATTTTAAGTGCTCTAGTTGGATTTACACAAGAAGAATATCAAAAAGTTATGAATGCGATATCGAACAATTGTAACAATAGTACAAGTACAAGTTGGCTAACTGGTTGGCTTAGTACAAATTCATCAAAACCAAAACTACAATCGAACATCTCATATGATCAATCGAATAAAGTGAGTGAAGAAAATCGTTTCTGAATTTTGAAAGATTCTTTTTAATTTAGTCATTTACTGAATTATTAATTCAATATGTTGATCAACAATCAGTGGATACTTTTCCACAACCAACATCGAATATTAATACCAATGAATGTAACAATCATCAAAATTCGAATAATTCAATTGTTCCTACATCTGATAATTCTACGCATTTTCCTTGTGATAAACAATTAGTTACAGTCGGCTCAACAACATCAAATATTGAACAAGATATAAATATTCATAATCAATCTTCTCTTCCAACACCATCTACAATTGTTGACGGTCTTTTAACAGTTTGATTTTGTTTTTTCTAAATTTTGATTATTTTTTTTTTATCTGTTCACAATTAAACATAGTGCATTGTGTATGAATATATTTTTCTTCATGCTGATTTTTGTCTTGGTCATTTTAGTTTACTCTGTCTTGTTTTGTTACGTTTTTCTGATAAAATCTGCATTGTTTACGTAAAAAAAAATGGTTCAGTTTTTCATTTTAGATTTTTGTTTGTTGATTAACTTTAAGCAAATAATGGTAAAATTCAATTCGAACTTGTATATAAGGATTTATTTATTTATTTATTCAAGGCTTATCATTCTTCCTTTGCTAATAACAAATTTCGTCTAGGAAATATGGCACTACTACCTATTCGAACACGTTATAGCGGTCCGGCTCCAACAGAAACCTGTAAGCATAACTATCCTAAGAGTTGAACTCAATTTTGGCATACGTCAAAATAAGCTATATGAAATCGATATCTAAACTGGATTGTTTTCACCATTGAGAAAAGTTTGAATTCGTTTTACACTTGTTACTTGGTTGAACTGTCTCGCAGGCTGAGTATAAGATGTTGGAATCACGATTATTTCAATAAACAGAGAACAAGTTATGAGTATCCGTTAAGGAGCTAAAGTTTCTTCCAGATCCGAGTCCACAAAAACGTAGACTCACAGCTCTCTAGTGCTTTGAAGATTTCGTCATTTAATTTTATGTCAGAGGTAGGATCCAGTTGAATGTAATCACATTGATCTACAAAACCAATTGAATATCCCAATTTGAATCGAGTTAAGTCATGAATAAAGTAATAGATGAGGACCATCGGTATAAGCATAAACCAGTGTTAAATATTTCACTTGTAAAAAATTTTGACATCTGAAATTAGTTTTTGAAAATAAGAAGGATTTTTTAAAAATTCATCGAAAAATTTTAGCCACCGCCTATCGTTTGACTAGTATTTTAATCTTATTTTTTTTCTAGCCACGGAGCATGAAGATATAATTGATGAAGCAATAAAATATTTTAGAGCTAATATATTCTTTCGTAATTATGATATTAAAGTAAGCTCAACAAAGTTTGTTCTCTTTTTATTCAATTCCTTTTTTTTTTTTTACTAAAGCATGATGCTGATCGAACATTGATCTATTTAACATTGTATATAACTGAATGTTTACGACGTCTTCAAAAAGTTTGAATTCTTTTACTTTTTCTAATTCAATGAAAATAATAATAATAAATTGAATTTAGTGCCAATCACGTGTTCAAGCACAAAAGGAATTAGCAGCATTAGCTATTTCAACATTTCCAATACCAGGAGAAGCAGATTTTCCACTGAATGGAATGTTTGCTAAACCAACAGTTAGTGAAGTTGGTTAGTTACTGATCTTTTTTTTTTTTTAAAGAAAAAAGTATTGAAAATTCATGTTTTTTTTGTTGTATAGAAAAAATGAAACAGTATCTTGAACAATTACGTAAAGAATGTAGTGATCGTATGGTTGATCGAGTCATCGATCCAGAAACAGATAAACCATCGAAAGTAAAGATTAACTGTATTATTTTAAATAAAAATTTGATTACGCCTTTTCCTGTAGTGGTGGCTTTGTTTTGTTCGGCGTCGTTTTATGGATAAAAGCTTATTAAATATTGGATCATTATGATAAACTCAAGAGATAGAATTAATGAATATCGGAATGAAAACTATTTTGTGTGACTTTTGTTTTATTTATCACTTTTTTTTTCTTACAATAAAATGATTATTAATTTATTTGACCTTAGCGAAAGGAGCCATTGATTCGCATTAAAGAGATCTTCAATGAACAGATCATATTCAACTATCAGAACATGGTGTCACTGAATTCTATACAAGCGAAGTTAGTCTTCTTTGGTTTAAGCCTTGATCGATTGCCTTCAATATTAGGACTGTTCTCCTATGTTAATATTAAATGTATATATTACGAATTCATAAAATCATCAAAAAACTGTCCAAAAACCACTTTAGTTCTTATCATCTTCGATTTTGCATTAAATGCATTGAAACTCGTATCGTTATCAGAACAAAACTTGTTTATGAACTTGTTCAATCAAAATGAAAACTTTGTAAGACATCATTTATCAATAATATAAGAAATTCAAAATAGGAATAAGTTTCTCATGACACAAATAACAGTATTGACTATTTGTTGTTGGTGGTTACAATTTTAAGACACAAAAATTGAAAATAACTGGAGAAATTTTAGCTTGAAAAAGAGAAAACGGTAATTTGTTCTATCATTGTTATACTCCATTTTATATGATATTATTTTGGACAGCAAGATTGTTTTTCGTTTTAATGTCACTGACGAATCCGTATTTCTCTGTATAACGATCACGACGATGTACGAACTTGATATTCGTCGGGTTGGCCGAAGTTAGAAAAACTTTACTTTTATTGAAAACAAAAATGCTCAATTCTAAAATCATTGCAGAACGTTTGAAATACTCCTTTATCATCTAAAAGAATATACTAAGTATAATAGTTGTAGAAGTTTTCTGTCGAGTTTTGAAAAATGAAGTTTCCAATCAGTGCAATGATTTTCTAGAATTCATTTTTACGATAAAAACAACTTTTTATAGTAATTAATTATATACTTTGATAGTCTCTGGAATTCTCTAAAATCTTGCATAATTATGTCTTAGCTGAAACTTATTTGTTAGATCACTATTCAAGTGTTATTGAGCTACTTATGTATCTAATTTTCGTTTCTATTAAATATTTCTGTGACTAATTTCTATAGATATTGTTGAAAGTTTGAACAGCATAGGTTGATGTAACAGTTCATACAAGATTACATTCTCTCAACTTTCAGAAAGGTTGAACTGACATGTGAATGTTTGTCTGTATGTAATCTCTGACTAACAGATAATCAATGATATGCTGTTGCAGTGTATGTCCAAGTGAAACATAATGTATCAAACTAATATAGTTATGTAAGAAAGGACTTCAATACGTGTTTTATTACTAGTAAAACATTGTTTGAGAAGAAATTAAAAACGCCACGGCTGATATCTAATACATGTTATAAAGCAACTGAGTATCTACAAAACTCTATACTTCATTATACGTACAAAGTCAAATTTCTCTAATGTTTTATTAGTTCAAGAATGCTTACTATGTCTCAGAGGGTAGTCCTTGTCATACCCTAATACATTATTCAAAACATTTCAAAATTCGCAATACGCTGAGGCCAAGATTATGAGCAATCCATATATTTTTTTCATAGTGCATGTTTTACATGTGCAATTTAGTAAGATTTTTCTATGAAATAATTTTAGTCGAAACTCTTATTTTCGTAGTTCTATATAAAACTCATAGTTTGGATCATTTTTCATAAATGTATATGTGTTTATTAATCGATTATGTACAGCTGGTATTGGAGATAATATTATGTCAACATGATTTAAATATTCGGATAGTTTCATGTGATTAGGAAGTAATCAATATAACACGGTTGAAATTTGAATATTAGATCAAATTTCATAGAATGTGTTCTGTTATACAACATATTGTAATCATGTTTTTTACAGTGGAAGACTACACAACTTAATATATGTGTAGAAATAGAATAATGCGGTTCGCAATGATAACTACATTTTTCACTGATAAAAAAACTTATTTCAACGATAAGAAAAGAGCGTTGAGTTTTTTTTTTCTAAAACAAGTATGATGTCGAGTATGACCTAGAAAAATCACAAAGATATGATCTTGTGTTTTTCTAGAAAACTTAATACTGAATTTAAAAAAGTAGTTCATTGAAAATTCTTTTATTTGAATTCATTTTCAATAGACAAATTTTATTTTAATGCACTAATCAAAAAAAAAAGAAACTTAATTTCATAATTAACATGATGAATATATCTTGATGAAATCATATTCTCAACAATAATAGAGACATATATTTGCGATAATAAACTACGGATTGCATCAAAATAAGAACTAAAGAATAAGCATCACAAGAATTTAGCATTCAAGAAACGTTTTTCTAACGAAATATATGACTAGAATAATTGATCACTTAGTCAAAAATTACGAAATGGATTTATGTATGATTGACACAAAACTGAAACAACAAGTCATTTCGTGAAATATGCTAGAATTATCCATTTTCACTATATGTTAATGAAAAACTTTCAATATTCAGTAATAGATTAAAATTAACTGATGAAGACACCTATCGATTTAATATGAAATTCCATATAACATTATTTATTTAGTTTTTCGTTCTAGGGAAGACAAGGCCTCTCAAGCGCTTCTCTATGAACGAGAGCAGAGCCATTTTATTGAACATATTTAAAATAAAGTTTCTTCTTCAAAGAGGTTTCATTCAATATTTCTATTGGTAACTTCAATGCAACCATTGGTTGTGTTCCCAGATGTGCTCCCTTTTTTCTCCTTTCATCTTGTCAATTCATCATCATTTAGTGTTACATGAAAAGAAAGTCGAAAATAAAATGATGAATGCCACAGCTTTTATTCTCATTTGTTAGCCTTTTTTTTTGTTCTTATTTTTGGGCCTAGATTGAATATAACTGCTGTTGCTTCTATGCATGATTTTTCTCATTTTTATTTTAGAACCAAAATTTTTATGATGATGAAGCAGGCCGTCGTTGACGAACCTCTTTTGTCTGTAGAGAATGGAAATGATACTGATGAAAAACAAAGCATTTGGTAAATTAACCTTGTTCATTTTTATTTTTAATTATAAAATTTAATATTCATTTAAAAGGGCTTCCATATTACGTGATGTCAAGTCATCAACAAAAAAAGCACCCACAACAAAATCTTTGGTAATTTTGGGTGATAATGAAAGTGGTCGAACAACATTAGTTGCTAAATTACAAGGCAATGATGATCCAAAACGAGGTGCTGGTCTTGAATATCATTATCTTGATATTAGAGATGATGATCGAGATGGTATTTATATCTTTATTCATATATTAAATTTTAATAATTTTCTTTCTTCTATTGAATAGATACTCCGAAATTAGG